TTGGTTTTATCTTTTAGACCATTATCTGGGATTTCCAAAATGATATAAAACATTATTCTCAGTCAAAAACTTTGGATTTTATAAAAGTTTTAAGAAATAAAATCAATAAAGTTCAAAAATGGCCAAAAAATCACGTTTTTTCCGACGGCACCGGAAAAAATGGTCAAAAATAAAAAATATTTTGGATTTTTCTTAGTTTCATATATATCTATTCAAAAGAAAAAGTGCACCTCTGAACAATTTTTACAGAGCCGCCCTAGGGTTTCTTTAGACAAAAGTTTTGTGAAAGAACGACGCCCAGTCCTAGCTACTTGTCCCTTCATTTATAAAATGACATCTACAATTCCCAAGGTACGAGATTAAAAGCTGTATCTGATCAAGAATAAATTATCAATGTTTTTTTCTCTCTAAAATTGACAATTTTCAATTGAGGCTTCTCTATTAAAGTGCTACCTCGGATTTCTCAACACTTTTTTAGCTAAAATAAACCGACATCTTATTATTATTATTGATCAGATGAGCATATGATTATTTCTCTTATCCAATATTTATATTCAGTTTTAAATTCAAAAATGTTTTATAACAAAAAAATCACCAATTACTCCGATTGGGGAATCTTCAAAGAAATCATTGTCAAGAAAATCAAACTTGACATCAATATCAACACGTTTAGATTCCTCTACATCCACACCATTCCTGATAATATATTAGTTTTAATCAAATTTGACATCAATATCCATACCATTCCTGATAATATATTAGTTTTAATCAAATTTGACATCAATATCCATACCATTCCTGATAATATATTAGTTTTAATCAAACTTGACTGCAATATCCATACCATTCCTGATAATATATTAGTTTTAATCAAACTTGACTGCAATATCCATACCATTCCTGGTATTATATTAGTTTTAATCAAATTTGACACCAATATCCATACCATTCCTGATAATATATTAGTTTTAATCAAATTTGATTGCAATATCAATACCATTCCTGATAATATATTAGTTTAAACAAATTTGACATCAATATCTATACCATTCCTGATAATATATTAGTTTTAATCAAACTTGACTGCAATATCCATACCATTCCTGGTAATATATTAGTTTTAATCAAATTTGACATCAATATCTATACCATTCCTGATAATATATTAGTTTTAATCAAACTTGAATGCAATATCCATACCATTCCTGATAATATATTAGTTTTAAACAAATTTGACATTAATATCCATACTATTCCTAAAAATTTATAAGCTTTACTCAAATTTGATATTAATATTCACACCCTTCCTATAGATAATATATTAGTTTTTATCAAACTTGAATGCAATATCCATACCATTCCTGATAATATATTAGTTTTAAACAAATAGATTATCAAGTAAATGGTGGCAACAGAGAAATGGGCAAATAATACATGACGTCACAAGTGTCAAATATAACAAGGAAGACAACATGTTTTCCCATTAGTTGACATGTTTTCCAAGATTAAATTTCACTGTAAGATAAGCACTTTATTATCACTATTATTTATAATTTTGTCGCCATCTATTGAGTTTTAATTAAACTTTATATCAATATTCAATATCCAAACATTCATGACTATATATGTATTAGTTTTTTAGAATACATTTTTTTGGTTATTAATCCCATAGCATGCATTATATTTATCATTATTAATTATTATACTTATGCTATTTATCTATTCAACAACAATTTGTGCTTTTTTTCTTTCTTAATATCTCTCTATAGTCTATAGTCTATATACTTCAACTAATGATTATTATACTAACCTGATCTCCTGTATCCAAGTATAGTTCCTGATATGTACTCACCTTATATTCCAAATAATTTTTTGTATCCAAGGATAGTTCCTGATATTTACTGACCTGATATTCCAAATAATCTCCTGTATCCAAGTATAGTTCCTGATATTTACTGACCTGATATTCCAAATAATCTCCTGTATCCAAGTATAGTTCCTAATATTTACTGACCTGATATTCCAAATAATCTCCTGTGTCAAAGTATAGTTCCTGATATTTACTGACCTGATATTCCAAATAATCTCCTGTGTCCAAGTAGTCCCAGACCTAGGATAGGTTGCTATCCAAACATCCTTCTCTCCTACCTTCAAAGTAATTATCTGATCAATAATGTGGAAGATAACGTCGTTTTTTTAGCTTGTAATGCTGTTACTATCTATATTGTTTTTGACTTAAGAAATGTTCAAGTCACTTTTGTAGAGAAGCCACAAATGAAAGTAATTAGTTTTCAAAACAAAAAGATGGATATCTTTTTAATACTTCATCAGACTAGGCGTTAAAAGGGTACCATTGTGAATCGGACATGGCACTCTAAAAGTAGAGGTCCACTGAAAATTAAGTGCTAAGTCCCTTTACAGTAAATTTTTAAAGATGTGTTCTTAATCAATGTTTTTAGTGTGCGTATCTAATAATGTGCCCTGAAAGTGCACCCTAAATGTGTGTCCTTTCTGTGCGTTTGCATTATGTGCACAATCTTATCTGTTTTATCTTGAGTGCGCTTTAGTAAGTTCTTCCGTTCAAGCTTGCTGATATGAAAGTCCCATAAAACCCTTTCCCAATTGTTTTTTGTGTGGCTAATTTAGATTGGGAGGGGGGAGGGGGTGTTTCCCTTAGAGTTAAGAGAGGGGAGTGTGTTGCATGTGTAACTTTTTAAGAAAAAAAATAATCCTATAACTTTAATGGCAAATGTGTTATGGGAGGGTTTAAGAAAGTTCAAAAAGTACGTCGGTTGATTTTTATTTTTCATGTGACACATTTTTTTTGGAACACCGACCAATCGTTTGACCGTTCTCCACCCTACCATATGCAAAAAAAATGATGCTGGCAAAATTTGATGCAAATATGAAGTTGAAACAGTGAAGTTCTAGTGTAAGCCGTTTTTAAGTTAAAAGGAAAAATACCACAGCAATCCCCCCCCTTCCCCCATTCACGATAGGGTTAAAGTCATTGAATCCCCAGCCTATTTCTAATTATACAAAATTCTCGTGAAAGGATAGATTGTGTAATATTTAAAGTATAGGTGACTCANCAAAGCATGTTCCTTAAACAGTTATATTTTCAAAGCATGTTCCTAAAACAGTTATATGTTTATGTATATCAACGTTATAAAAAGAACAATAACTAAGTGTTTATCAATTTTCCAACTATTTACCAATTGAAATCCTGCCGAAAATATTAAAATCTTTAAAAATGGGTTCAAATCGTCTCTGTTTAATGTTCAAACAAATACTGTTGGGGATTTCAAGGGTAAAAAAACATTGTATATATTAATACAATGAAGACGACTTTCGATTTCAATATTTGATTTCTACCAAGATTTCAAATATCATGGTTGCACATAAAGATGGACCCAAAGAGAAGCTGTCAATTAACAGCTTACCTTTGTTTACTTGTAATTTGAAAAACAAACGTGGTAGGAATAAAAACGAAATCAGAACTGTCGTCTTCATTGTATTGATATAAAAGACGACCACAGTAACCAGGGGACAATTAAGTGACAAAACATCCCATTTCAGTTTGGGTGACGTTTGTCAAAGGTGAAAGAACGGCAAAAGATTAAATTACCTTGAGAGGATGATTATCAAGTATAACGGGTGTACACTGCACTAGATCCATTTTCTTTAATTATAAACATTGTTAATATTGTTTACTCAGCGAGAAAATTAATTTTAAAAAGTCGGCTTTGTTAGATTCTGTAATTTTTCGGTTCTAATACATCTCTGACACTAATCTCAAGATCTAATCTCTAATCGATATCCACAATTCAAGATCGTTCCCATCTCATGAGTCAGGGCACATATTGGGTTACCAACAAAGGATGAGACTTCAGAGACGATTGTATGGAACTTGTTTAGTCCATTTCCTTGCACTCAGGGTGCCATGTAGGCCAAAACTGGCTTATTTCTGTGCTTCGTAAACCATGAAAAATCCTCAGTTAGGTCAAGAAACCAAAAAACAAGCATTAAATCGTCACATTTTTCGAGTTTAAGGTCGTATTTACGGTCTCATCCTTTGTGGGTAACCATGTATTGATTACAAAATCTGATGCGACGTGGATAATATAAAATCTTGAAGACGACTTTCATTCCAGTTAATTCAGGTTTTTTTCTGGTTTACTGTAAACTCCGGTTCATTTCAAGTACTGCAGTGAGAACCAGAAAACAGTGGAATAGGAAAACGACATTAAAACAATGTGAAATATATTTGATGTTATTGCAAAACAAATTGCTTTACTCATGGTAGATACTTGGTTTCACTAATACAGGGTGTCCCAAAAAACATGGGAATTCAGTGACGAATTGGATATCGTCTTTGTTTTGAATTGGTAATAATACCTAATTTCAAAAGCCACAATATTATTATTTCTGCTAGAGTTTATTTTATGAAAAGGGTAAAAGACTGTAAAGATGTGTCTAATGTCTCCGCAAGATGAACAGTGAAGACGGACAAGCTTTTACTCTGTTTGTATACTGCAATTTTCTTGTTTTACTAAGTACAACCGTATGCAGTCAAAACATAAACAAACAAAATGTGAACATAGCAGACGAAACTCTTACAGATTACAGCTTTCTCGGTAGGTATCACTAAACTAAATCAAAGAATTATTTGAAAAGACGATATCGAATTCGTCACTGAATTCCTATGTTTATTGGGACACCCTGTAGTAACTAATTAAATCGCTTATTTTGTGAAATGAGTCTGTTTACACTACACAATTGCTTTGTGGCATGTTTATTGGATTAGACTATTTAAAGGTATAACTTGAGTGTAAAATTCATGCCTCATTTTCCTGAGTTTTCTGGGTCTCACTGTACTTAGAGATATTCTCAAATATTTCTTGATCCTGTGTCTCAATATAGTATATTGATACTTACACTTGCGTTCTACGACTTACATGGTGTCCCACGAAACATGACAGTTGGTGAATAGTTTAAAATGTCTTCTTCAATAATTTGATGAGTTAAATAAACTGCAAAGTCTTTAATATCTAATACAGTATGTGGAAGAAGACATTCCAAACTATTTACCAACTGTCATGTTTCATAGGACACCCTGTAGCTTAAAGATAGCAATATTTAATCATTTTAAATTAAACATTAAATTAAACAAGCCTAAGAATACGACTTGTAAACAGAGATAAAATAAAATTATATTGTAAAAATTTCATTTCATTTTAAGAGTATTAAAAAAAACAATATACAAATAAAATTTAGTATTTTTTTATTTGACCCTTAAATACTTTATGTTGAAAAGGACACATGTGTTAACAGTTGTGGAAACATTCGATCCTTCCTTATCACATCTACACACTGATAATATTATATAGATATATATAATTTATATATATTTATTATCTTACAACCAAGGAGAAAATTGTAAGATGTATACAGCGGGAGAAAAGGAACAATTATCTAGCAATCTACAAGGTGTCCCACAGCGGGAAAAGGCACATATCTAGCAATCTACAGGGTGTCCCACAGCGGGAGAAAAGGAACATATCTAGCAATCTACAAGGTGTCCCACAGCGGGAAAAGGCACATATCTAGCAATCTACAGGTGTCCCACAGCGGGAGAAAAGGCACATATCTAGCAATCTACAGGATATACCACAGCGGGAGAAAAGGAACATATCTAGCACACACCTCCCCGGAAGCGATTTTGACCTCGTTGTTACGACCATTTTTCTNACATATCTAGCAATCTACAGGGGTACCACAGCGGGAGAAAAGGAACATATCTAGCAATCTACAGGGGTACCACAGCGGGAGAAAAGGAACATATCTAGCAATCTACAAGGTGTCCCACAGCTGGAGAAAAGGCACATATCTAGCAATCTATAAGGGTGTCCCACAGCGGGAGAAAAGGAACATATCTTTCATTTAATCTTTCATATAATTTGCGGCATTTCGTTCGTAAACCTGACTTTTAGTAAAATTAGAAGTTAATAATCACTGAATTTTCCTAGTCATTGTCAAAGACTTTGCTAATTAGCAAAGTCTTTGGTCATTGTCCTGTCAATATTGGGTGTCCTGCATGGAGCGAACTCTTGCATGGGGGCGGACTCCTTCTAAAGTTTTAACCATTTTAACGCAATGTTAGTCATAAAAAGCAATGTTAAAACATTAAAAATTAGTAGTGGACCTATTTTATATAAGCATTAAATGTATCTAAAAGGAGGTCAAGGAAAAAAATTTATTTCCTCTTGAATGTCGTCTTCCCTTCAAATCGCCAAACAATTAATATTTACTCGAGACGCGGATAATTTTAATGTGTTTTTTTTTAAATCAAAATACATTAATAAATATCTGAATATATCATAATATTGCTTTTCATCTCTAACATTGTGTTGAAATGGTTAAAACTTTAGGGGGAGTCCGCTCCATGCACGACACCGGAGATGTGAAGAATTTTGTTCAGATCATATTTCGACAAATTGGTTTTATTTAATAAATTAATATTTAAACGAAATTATTAAATTTCTTGAATTTTTTTATCTTACTTTAATGACATGACCACAGTATTAAAAATCACAAAACTTTTCAGAGGTTCGAACTTTTGAACGGTTCTACAAAATTCTGAGATGTTTTAGAACTGATAAAATTTGCTTTCTTAACACTAAATAAAATGTTAACAATGAAAACAGTTTATGGGATAACAAACCTAAAAAATTACCATTCTTTCTTAATGACTTTCTCATGGACTAAAGTTTTTGCGTAGTAGCAAACTTTTTCATTATTGAAAAGATGAAGGGACCTTCAGATGCTAGAGTTGCCTATTAAAAAAAAAAAAAAAACTTTTGAATGCCAATTAAATGTTTGCACATTACCAGTTGTATATAGGTAGGTGGCACGAACAAGACTTCTATTTCTTCTAGCATAAAAGCACAGGGGTATATATTATTTTCTTGAATAATCACCCCCCCCCCAACCTTTAACCCCGAATATTACATCCAGGGTTTCCCACGAAACATGACAGTTTGTGAATTGTTTAGAATGTCTTCTTCCATAATTTGTTAGGAGGTTTAGTACCATTGACAATAATAAAAATATTAATTAATGGGAGTCATATTATGGTCAAATTTATTTCAAGGTAAAATGTATTTGAGCAAGAGATTTTTTAACGAAATATTATGATTTTTTCTTTTCCGAGGGTATGGGGATTCATAGAAAGAGTTACTGCAGGTTTTCAGTTCAAAGTAGCCTTTTTTAGATAGATATGCTTTATTAATAGATCATATTCTTCAAAAATATGCAAATCTTAGCCTTTCGAGTCTGATGTGCCCCACATTGTAACCAGCTTGCAGCTTTCAAGCCACCAGCACTTAAGTGGAGACTGAAGTTCTTAACCTTGATGGTTCTATTAATAAATCAACTTCATTATTCCAAACATATAATGATAATCTTCTAACGAGCGCTGTTCTAAAAAAAAACAAGTTTGGGGCATTAAACATTTATTTTACTTCAAGCGAACAAACATACATACTGTTAACAAACAATCCGAGCTCAGAAAAATTAAACGCAATCGATTGTTACTTTATCAATATTTTACACACAAAATTATTCATACAACTTGATTCCAGATTTCAGTTTGAAATCTGGAATTAAGTTTTCTTGCACACAACAGATTAAAAGGAAAGCCAAAACGTTACAAATACTTGGGTTTAAGACTCTAAAACAAATAGAGAGAATTTGGCACTTTAAAGCAACGTTAGAATGCATAAAAGCGAAAAAATTGCAATTGTAAAAGCCTGCCCATTTTTTTTTTTTTGTAGTTTGAATATTTTTTCTGTTCCGTTTTGATTCAATTCCTTTGTATAAGTTTCATACTTGGACCGTTACTTTTTTTAGGTTACTTTTTTATATTTTTTATATTTTTTCTTTCTTTTTATATATTTTTTAATTACTAGTTTCATTATGCTCGTATATGTTACCTAAAGTTACTAAACACAGCAGTTTCTTAATAATTTAAGAACTTTTTTCTACAAAAAAAAGTTGAAAACAGGTTGAATTGTTAAGAAACTGTCAAAGAACAGGTTTACTGGAAGAAATATTGATAATATTAATTTGGCATCAACTGTGCCTAAATTTACAAACATGAGTGCGAAGTGTAGTGAGAGGGACTAGATAGAAAAAAAAAATACAAAACCGGCGGTTTACTAAATCCAACTCCCTCCAACCACTGAAAAGAAATCAACAAAAACTAAAATGGAAATATTCACATATTAAGAAAGCTCATGATTTTCCTTTCATTGCTATGACAAACAGTAAAACGTTGGTGTTATTCCCTGCTAGCATCTTATACAATCCTACACGCAGGAGAATAATTACAAAGTACAAAACCAAACAATAATGCGGAATATGTTACGGGCAATGCTACAAAATCCCTGTAATTGTTGTAAAATCAAACATCTGCGTAAAAGTGAGTTAATAGATCATTATTTTTATCCTACGATGTAAGTTGGGTTTATTCATCATATTACGCATTTTTTCGCGCTACAAATGTGACGAATACAAATAATGCTGAAGTCAGAAATTTCCAAGTGTTTCGAAATTTCTCCCTTTTTAGTTAATGTACACTGTACACGATGGAAGGGATTATATCACCAATCCTTGGTGATCAGAATCAGAATTCTTTGGCGGACAAAGCTAGTTAGAAATAAAGTTTTTTAAAGGTTGAAAATAAAGATTAAAATAGTTTCTAAGTTAAAAACCAGTTCTAAAATAAAAACCAAGTTTGTAATGCGGAAAAACGGTCTTAACAAACCTTTAAAAATTTCTTTTAGAAGTTGATACAAAATTTTAAGTTAAAACCCACTTTAAAGTTTTAAAAAATTAGTTGCGAGCTAAAATAAATTTCAAAGCTTAATAGCAGTTTTGAAAACCTAATCTCAACTTAGAAGCCAGTTCTAAAGATGAAAATGTTTATAACGGGTTTCGAAGTTCAAAGATAAAAACCACTATAAAATTTTAAACTAATTTTGAATTATTACAAAAGGAATTTTCAGGGGTAACACTTAGCAGAAAACAATTATCTCAAAATAGTACAGTTTCTATAGAATATATATAAATGGTGTCGGGACCAAAAACCTTCGCAATATTTTCAGTTTCGTGGATTAACATTTTTGGTCCCAAGACCTTTTTTCAAAAATCAAAAATCGACAGTCCGTGGCACTTGAACCGTTTGTTACATTTTTAAAGTTTTTTTTGTGGATTCAAATGTTACGGAGTGTGGTTTGATACATGTTTCTGACTTGAAAAAGTTACGAATATCACACTGACAGTCTGGTTGCAACTGGAATTTTCAACAAAAATCGTGTAAAAATTCTTGATGAAAATTACAAAATTAAAACGTAACAAAACTTACAACTAAATTGCTTTAAAATGAGACGAGATCAATCAAAACTTGATTTCTATGAGGAACCGTTGAATATTTGTGAAATATTAAAAACTGATTAGAAAGTTTCGCATAATGTATGAGCACTTCAGATTTTCATTATTGAACGTATTTTTGTAGAAAACTGGAAAATGGGTTTCAATGATTTAACGAGGGACCGTTGGGAACCTCAGAACAGGGAGGCCAGCAAAATACTCAAAGCAACGGAAAATAATTCTGAATGCTTTGCATTTATTGCAGATCTCCCTATAAAGTAATCACAGAGTCTAAGGCCATTTCAACAAGTGTAAAATTGAATAAAAGTTTCTAGAAGAGGATATTTCGCAAAATTTACTCCGCGCACACTTTTTTGGACGAAAAATGCGCAAACGGAAAGTTCTGGATTCCAAAATGGATAAAATGAGTTAAACAATAATAAATGACAAGTTTACAATAAATCTGTCTTTGGTATCTTGTAATTATTTCGTTCCATTTTTGATGAATAGTTTGCTTGTATTGGGGCTGAGAGCATTTTCAATATTTTTTTGTTCAATGAGATTATTTGGTTAAAGGGGGGGGGGGGGTAGACGGTTCAATCACAGAGCTAGTACAGTAAAGGAAGCTAATATATGGCAAACAGTTGTTAGTAGTTGAGGACCGACGGGGGTCAGGGGGGGGGGCAGTGAGCCCTCATGGGGAGATGTTCCTTGCAAAATGCAATGTTGGGCTTACACAGCTTTAGGTTTTAGTCTTACTTTAAATATCAACAATTCTCAGCACACGGTTTATAAAATGATGGTTCGGGAAACCGAACACACAATCAGAACTGAACACCGTTCACACAACGTTGTCGTGATTTAAACTGTTTTTAACAAGCTTGATATAATAATGATTATTTGTGATATGGTTTGAACACAACCCAATTGGAATGTTACAATTACCTGAAATGAAAAAATAAATGTTAATAAAATGTTATAATTAGGGATTTAAAATGATAATTGGACAGGTAGACATGCAGACGAGATGAGTAGACAATCAAACAGTTAGACAACAGATAGGAATTAGATAAGTAGAAAGTAAACCGATCAGACAATTAGACAATAGACAAGAATTAGACAAGTATAAATGTAAAGAAGCTGGCGAGTAGACAAGTAAGACGATCAGACAAGTAGCCAATAGACAATTAGACAACAGACAATTATTAGACAAGTAGAAAGCAAAGCTCATAAATATGAAATCATGGGAAGGGTTTGGTTAATAAGTGGACACATGGATTAAGGAAAATGGTATTAGCGAAAGAGAGAAAAGGAGGAGTGGGAAAAGGAAATTTTTTTACATGGTTCTTTTTCAAAATTAATAATATTGAAAATATTGGCCGAGGCTTGACCCTGAATAAACGAGGATTGAGAGTTAGATTTCTTGATGAATAACTTACATTATTGAGCAGTGAGCTGCTCCATCAGATCAACGACGATCTCAGGTTCTGTTTCTACTTTCTCACGGGGCTGGAACCCACGGGAACCATCAGGACCCCTACACAACAGATCTTTCATTATTCACTAGTTCAGGGAATATTTTGAAGAACTCGATATAATTGGAAGTTTTCTAGAAATTACATTTCCAGTCCTATTTGTCGCCTTGATAAGCAATGTTGTATACCTGGGTTGCCTGACAACTATAATCCTTGGTCCACCTCTAGCAACCTCCTCTATACTCATGGTCTTCAGCTTAGATATCAGGCGTTCAGGTCGCTGGGACACACTAAATAAAATCTAGTCAACAAATGTCATATTTATATTTTTTTACTAAAAATCGGAAACTTTGCCATTTGAAAGCATGTGGGGGGAGGGAGGGTTACTTTTTGATAAATTCGGAGAAAATTTTTTTGACATCAAAAGGCAAGTTTTTTTTTCATTCTTTCTGATACTATTAAACCAAAAAATCTTTCATTTTCCCCAATTCAACGAAAAACTCGTAAAAATCATAAATAACTTCTGGGGAATAAAAATGATTGCTTAAAGGGGGGGGGGTGATTTCTAAGGAAAATATACACCCTTGCTGACCTCTGAGGTAAAAGACAGTGACTTACCAAAGCTTCCTGACACAGCAGGCCGAGTGTTTCTTAGTTCTATGATTAGTTACAACAACAAACTCAACTTGATCTCCAACCTTCAAAATAAAAATAAATATAATTATTAATTATAAATCATTTTTATACGAGATGAGATCTGCTTGTAGTCCAATCATGGCCAACCCAGACCGCCCACATGAGTATCCGATAATAATGTTAAACATATAATACAAAAGAATATTAAAGTTAATAATCTAGACCTGTTTGAAGGACAATAGCAAAATAAACCGAAGAAATTTAAATTTAACCTAGACCAACAAAGGCAAAACTAACCGACAAGAACAAAAAATTTAAGACATAGAAAACCAGTGGAAAACTGAACGAAACTGTACCAACAAGAACCAAACCTAAAGACCAAAAGAACATAAATAGAACTTTACACTAAGTGACAACCAACAGGGGTGTATATTTTTCAAAAAGAAAGAAAAATGCAAAAAAGGACAACAAAAGGCAAGTTTTTAAATTCTTTTTGCTACTTTAAACCCAAAAAATCATTTATTTTCTAGAGAAAAATTATTAATTTTTTCCACAAGTCAGCGAAAAAACCATAAAAATGTTCTCTGCGCAACCGTACACAACTTCTGAATAAAATTCTTTTCTAGAAAGGGGGGGGGGGGNAGCAGAACAACACTAAACGACAAGAATAAAAAAGTTTAACCTGGACCAAGCAGAACAACACTAAACGACAAGAATAAAAAAGTTTAACCTGGACCAAGCAGAACAACACTAAACGACAAGAATAAAAAAGTTTAACCTGGACCAAGCAGAACAACACTAAACGACAAGAATAAAAAAGTTTAACCTGGACCAAGCAGAACAACACTAAACGACAAGAATAAAAAAGTTTAACCTGGACCAAGCAGAACAACACTAAACGACAAGAATAAAAAGTTTAACCTGGACAAAGAAGACCAAAATCAAGACGAAAATTATAAATTTTAAGAATTTAAAACCTGAAGAACTTCTCCCCCCTCTACTTCACTCATATGGAAGAATAGTTTCTTCCCCTCGTCCTGCTCATAGGCCAGGAATCCAAACTGTCCTGAATAATAATAATCATAATCATTTCTTAGGATCCATTTAATTTTGATGCGGTTCCGGATCCTGGATCTGCACTGGAAAAAATGGATCCAGTTCATGCACATTACTTCAAGATTTACTATTTTAAAAGAACAAGAATTTTCAATTTGGTTCTCTTCTTTCATCGTTTTTTTTGATGCTAAAACTTTATAAACCCATTCAGAAATGAGGAAATTTTTTTTATATTTTCTTTTTTTAAAAGTTCAGATTCAGGTTTTGAGAACAACCAAATTTTTGTTTGCAGTTTTTGGTTAATATTTTCCCCTCTTGAATCTGGATCCGTGGATCCGCAGATTTTTGCAGATTCAACAGATCCGGATCCTAAGCGCTGATCATAATCATGATAAATCGATCATCATCAAAATCAGGACAACATTCAATTGTCTTAAAAATAAGTGAATTTCAGACGAAGGGGATGATTAATTATTTGGCGGACTAAATTCCCGATACCCCTAGGTCAAGGTCGGGAGTAATAGAAAAAAAATAGACTTTTTAAAACATAAATTTTTAATGTTTTTGAAATAATCTTCACCTTTAACAGCCTCAACGTTAGATCTGAGTTTCTGTTTGTTGGATTTAACATTGATGGCAAAGGGTTCGTTAGCTGACACCTAAATAATTAAGTTTGTTAAAAAAGTTTTCCTTCAACATCAGTTTCTTTTTAACTGACAAACCAAAGAGTCTAAAATCCACTTTTTAAAAAAGTGCTAAAAAGACGCCACAATTAAAAATTCTATTTAATTTTATTAGGAAATCCTCCGATGTTGGTAGAAAATCTACCAAGTTTTGTTCTATAATGCACGAAAAAGGTATCTTTTTAGATTTTTTTTTGAATATAACTAAAAAAAACACCAGATTTCTTTTTAGTTGAAGTACTATTCAAAAAAAGGGGTTTAACTAATTTGCTTGGTTTAATAAGTTAACTTGATTCTTTTGCCAATTAACTATTAATACCTTAATTAAGTTGGTTAATTTCAGCTTTTATGTCAAATTAAAATTAAAACGTGAGACGGCGTAGAGAGAATTAAGTTTCAGATGTTAGTGTTTGTAAATCTACGCTAAACCTGAATTTAACTTAATCATTAAGAGAGACAAAAAAGGAAAAATATTTTCTTGATTAAAAATTGAAGTGTTAGGGATTCGGTAAAAAAACTTTTTTATGTGCTTTTGATTAAAATATTTTTTTTTTTGGAAGAGGTATAGTGTTAAAAAAGTTGTAAAACCTGCACCGTCCCATCATATTTCCCATGGGCCCCCTTTTCTAACCTGAAAGTTGACGGGATCCCCCTCCTGAAGGAGTTCCTTCTTGTTCAGGAGGCTAGCGATACCAAACTGATATTCCCCAATCACCTTCCCCTCCTCAGATTTAGAGACAATGAGCCCGCAGTAGTCGGCCTGAAAACCAAAGAATTGATCATTTATGAAAATAAATGTAAAAAATTAAATTAATTTATTTTTCGGGCTGAACCATGGCCCTCCTTGCAGAGCAATAAGTTATGTATAGAATTGATCAAAAGAATGATTATAATTCATAAAAAAAACCGTTTCAATTCATAGAAATCTTTAAATAGTTGTTAAAAAGTTTACCTGGTCAGGATTGACTGATCTTAGAGGTCTAACCACCTTTCCATACAGCAACTCTTCTTTTACAGGAGTTTTAGGGATAGATCCCTTGCTTAGGGGCTTCACCCCCTCAGCGGACATTTTGCCCCCTTTCTCCCTGGAGTAGATTGCGTACTCAACCTCTTGTCCAACCTCCAGTTTCTCAGCCTTGCCCTCCACGTTGGAGAAATGGAAAAAAATTTCTTTGTCGTGCTGAAGGGTCTCGATGAACCCGAACCCGTCCTTGAGGGCTGCAACATATCCTCGCTGAGGAGAGCCAAGTCTTGCCGGATCCCTCTTCTCTCTCGGGGGAGATTCCTCTGTAGGCTCCGGGGTTGCAACAGGGTTGACAACCTCAACATTAGCATGCTCCAGGATTCTCAAGTTTACTGCGTTTGTCTCCTTGGTGGATTTAAGTTGGTTTATATTAAACTGAACCTTATCTCCGATCTTGGGAGGGTTGCGCCCATCACAGTCTGCAGCATAAAGAGGAATAATAAGTTGAAGACCATTGAGTTCGTATAGTACCTGTCCAGCTCCTTCTTTAACTGGACTTTCTCCAGGCTTACTGGGAGACATAGAGCTCCATGAGGAGACTGGAGCTGGTTCAACAGCTACAAGTCCTTGAATATTCTGAGCTATGATAATATCAAAATTGACAGTTCCTTGTGGGAGAAGTTTAATTCTAGTTGCAAGCTGACGACCTGGCTGGGTTGGATCAAGAGCGCTTGTAAACTCAACCTCATCTCCAACCTCAAGGGTTTTGTTAACATCTAGACACTCGGATACATTGAAGTATACCTTCTCACTCCTATCCACACACTTCAGATATCCTTCCTTAGTTGATTGAATAACTCCTTGCTCCCTCCTCTCATCAGAAACCTTGAAGCTTTCATCCAGAATCTCGATCTTGGTTGCACGCTTCAACTTATCCCTTCGGTCAGTGGCAACAATAAACTTGATCCAGTCTCCGTGTCTGAGAGTAAAGTCTCCTTGTTGATCCTTCTCACCAAACTGAATCTCTTCTTCAGATCTATCTAGAGCCCTGTACTTAACTCTGCCAGGGAGAGGGTCAGTCTGCTGGTATTTACCAGCTCTGTCCAATGGTTTTAGAACCTGTCCTCTGAAATATTCAGTTCCTACATCCTCGAACACCACAGTCCCAGGGGGGAGCTTTGTCAGCTGACATGCTACCTCCTTTCCATTCCTGGTCTGTATTATGAACTCAACATCGTCCCCAAGCTGTATGTGAGTATTATCCTCCTGTATCCCGTCCTGCATATCCTGTATGTTGAAGTAAATCTCTTTGACAACATCTGCTCGTTCTATGTACCCATATGTGTCCTTGAGCGAGTTTACAACTCCTTGATATTTGACAGGAGCAGCAGGGTTCTCTAGACGAATAGTTTTGGCTGCAAGGTTTCCACTCCTCTGAACAGTTGCCATCTGGAAGCTGACTTTATCACCTGAAGCCAGGGTCACATTACCCTCCACATCTGATGTATTAAAGGGAAGGAAGAAACATTCTCCTCTGTTCTCGTAACTGATTCTACCCTGGGTTTCATTTCCTCCTTCAGGAGACACTTTAACCTCAGTGGTCACAGTTCCAATAACGCGCTCCTCACTCATAACAACCTCTGGAGCGATCTTAGACACAGCACTGGCAATGGGCTTCCCTGTCCTCCGATCGTAAGTCATTTCAAACTCAACAGGATCTCCAATCTTGAGATGTTCAATGTTGCCTTCAAACTGAGAGAAATGAAAGAAAAGTCTAGCCTGTCTGTCGCAGCATTGGATGAATCCGTAGGAATGGAGTAGTTTCTCAATGATTCCAGTCTCACGGATCCCCATACCAGGTTGGATGGGTCCATTGTTAGACTGAGTTGTACCATTGGCTCCAGGACCATACATGTTTCCTCCAGAACCAAATGATCTTGATCCAGGATCATTGATGTTGAATGTTCCAATCTCGAAGTTTGAAACTGGTGGGAAACTACCACCTTGGTTTGCTGCAGCAATATTCCCATCATTCCAAGTTCCAATCTTCATGTCGTTCTGTGGAGGGGAAGGTGGACCTCCCTGGTATGAAATAGAACGATTGTATCCATTATCTCCTGCTCCATATGCTTGACCATTGGATAAAGACATGCTGCGCTGCACCATCATGTCACGAGGGTAAGGCATGTCCCTCTGCTGATCCATCATGTCCATTCTTGATCCCATTCTCTCCATTCTCTCCAACCTTTCTAGATGTTCCAATCTTTCCAGTCGATCCATGGCATTAGTATCACGTATTCCCATCATGTCCGAGTTAGATCTCATGTAATCTCGACTATCCCTGGACTGTAAGTTGCGTCCCATCATGTCACCGGACGACATCTCCCTTCCCATCATACCTCTGTCCATTCCATTCATCATACCTCGTTCCAAGCCTATCTCAGAGTTAGATCTAACCATATCCCGAGAGCCCATCATGCCACGGTTATTCTGCCTTTCACGCATGTCTAGAAACTCTCTCATTTCTCGGCTTTCTCTCATTTCTCTGGGTTCCTGCAGGTCCCGGAACATAGTTCTGCTCCCTCCTCCCATTCCATGCTCTCCCATCCTACCTATTCCATGTTCTCCTAATCCTCCCATTCCACGCTCTCCACGATCTATATATCCCATTCCACTCAGACTTCCACTCATGCTTCTTTCTCCCATGGAACTCATATTGAATCCAGTAGATGGTGGACTTCGTTGATCCAGGGGTTTTCCCATGGCTCCCATTCCATATCCATCTGTGGTATATCCACTTCCATTGGTGCTGCTTTGCTGGTTCATCTTAGTTAGCATGGACATTCCCCCATTTCCCATTCTATCATGGGAGCTTCCCATCCTGTCTCCAAGAGAGGAACCACCCCTCACATTTTGATCCCTGCCCAGACCATAGAGCTGCGAGGAAAGAGAGTCTCGGTTTGATTCCTGAAGCAAGTTTGAGGACAGAGAATCCCGACCAAAAGAGGACATGGAGTCTCTTCCCATAGATGACATTGAATCCCGTCCCAATCCCGACATTGAATCCCGTCCAAGGGCCGACATTGAATCCCGTCCAAGAGCCGACATTGAATCCCGTCCCAGTGCCGACATTGAATCCCGTCCAAGTGCCGACATTGAATCACGTCCAAGTGCCGACATTGAATCACGTCCAAGAGCAGACAAAGAATCCCGTCCAATTGCTGACATTGAATCACGTCCAAGTACCGACATTGAATCTCTCCCAAGGGATGACATTAAATCTCTACCAATCTCCCTGCCAGATCTTTCTCCCCCAATCGACCCCCTTTCTCCAAACCCCATCATTCGATCAAAGTTGGAACTCCCGTTGGAGTAGTTCCCGTTAGAACTGGGTCCCATCCCGCCCAGCATGTTCATTGGATTCTTGGTTATCTGCCGACCAGAGGAGGGTAAACCAATGCACCCAACATCCCGCATCGATTTCCCACCCATTGGCAGAGGTTCAGGGGGGTTAAGGGCACCCCACCCCTGGTTCAGGGTCATAGTCTCCACCGCAACCAGAATCTATGGAAAAGAATTTTAAATTGTATGTAACAGAAAGGAAAAAGTTAGTTTAAAAAAACAAGGCTAGTAAATTGTAATGAAAAAAGCAAGAGCATATTTTGGTAAAAGAATTTAGAATAAGGAAAGATATAAAATGTGACTAGAAACTGTCGCCATTTAAAGAGTGGCAACGATAACCATGGTTGAGACATATTGAAATAAATTTCTTAAAGTTGAAAATTGATAATGATAAATGGTACCAAAGTGAATGAAACATGCCAAAAATTATATAAAACTATCAACTAAAATTGTCTAGTCCTTTTTAGGGGAGTGGCTAATTCTCCGAGGCCCGCGTTTGTTCAAATAATGCAATTGTTGATCATTTATCATGAATTTTCCCCATTAAATATAATGGTGTAAAAAAAGGCAACCAATTAGTTGAAAGATACTTTTGAGAAGTTTATGTACACAATAATCCAAAGTTAAGTAAATAAAAAATGATTTCTGTTTATGTACAATGCCACAATATTTTAAATTGCAAAATTCAAAAGTAAACATTTTTATTGCGGCCCCAACTTTGCTTTTTAAAGGCCCTTTTAGGGATTATTTTGCACACCAATTAAACGCTAATAGATTGATTGTCTTGGGTTCAAACTTGAAGAAGAAAATTTAAATAAAAATCAGAATCATATACAACCCTGGTCACTTATTCTGGAAGTTTTTCTTCCTTCAACCCAAAGGGGGAAATCATTTTTAAAAGCGAGAGGGTGAAGGGGGAAAGGATTATCGTTCAACAAAATACACAACTCTAATAGAGAAGTGGAGTCGAATCTTTAGATGAGTCCAGCTCCTTCAGCGGTTGCTAAAGATAGTTATAATTTTCAATATGCTTTATTTGAATAGAAATATCTAGAACTCTATACTCAAGGGGTTTTCATTCGGAGCAGAATGCGGGGAAACTTTACTTTAAAATAGATAACTATTGTTAAATATTTTCAGGGAAAGGAGACAACAATGCAACCGAACAAACTTTGTAATTCTAAGATCTGAACAAATTATCATAAAAATGAAAAATAACAATTTTAAGAAGTGATTTTTTATAGAATGAATGAAGATTATAATAAAACTCACCAAACTGCTCTTAAATGCGTTGCTTGCCGAAATTTATAAATCACCAGTAGTTTCTTGACACTATAGTTCACACTGTACGTAGTTAATAATCACAATCTCGTGTACATAGAGGTCCACTGTACACTGTTACAGGTTTTGAAGAGTCAGTGGCCAGTTCAACCTCTGCTCTCCTAACCCTTCAAAGCTTTGGCGTTTCTTCAACTCAACCTAGAGAAAACAATGTTTTATACTAGCTACGCCATAGCAGGATATTTCAAGGAATTGGTTTTATTATCCCCCCCCAAACTTCTCACAATTGTACTTCAAAGTATCTGATCAATATTTTATTCAGATTGGGTTGTATACAATTGGTCTAATCTAGACCAAGTGAAGCGAGAACGATTATAGCTGTGTCTAAGGGGGCCGAGCACTGTACTAAATAGTTCAATTTCACTTAATTACGGGGGAAAATAAAGAAATTAAAATGTTATTCTAAATTAGAATTGTTTCAATTTGCTCTAAAATGAGGGGAAATATTGGCGGGGGGTCGAAGCTAAGTATGATTATGCTCACTGGATATACAAGTTTTACCCCCACTTGGATACACTGTGCACTGTGCAGAATACAGATACGGGCACACAAAGCTACTGATGATGCAGCGAATATTTATGCAATTTTGCAAAAACTTCTGCAATCATGGCTGCACGAAGATTATACAAATCTTTTCATTATTACAGTATTTTTTATTGATACACCCCCCCTCCATGCACACACAAACACAAGGAAATAATTTACTTTTTATCAGTGCTTAGGATCCGGATCCGTTGGATCTCCAAGATTTTGGCATCCTCGATCCGGATTCGTAAAATGTTCCGGATTCAATAGATCTAAATCCGGATTTTAAGCCCAAGTAAATATAATTCAAAACATTACAATTAGGCTTATTCTTGAATTTACAGATACTTGACTCTTACAAATAATTTACAATTTTGCATAATAATTTAGTAGTAAAATTTAAAGACTAAAGCAAATTAAAATTAATATGACGTGTCGGCCTAAATATACTATTTAATTATACTACATTTAAGCTGTAAAACAAGCAAATATGGATTTTTGATAAGAAATGGAAATAATTTTGCACATTCCAGAAAAGCTAGGTCCGGGGTATTCATTTAAAATCATTAGACCCCCACTGGGAAGAAGATCAGGAAAACTAGACAATTACTGGCAAGTTTTTCCACCTTTATAGATACTTCGTACTATTTTGAAAGATGGCGGGGGTGCCAACAAAATATGTATTTTCTAGACCTTACAGAGGAACATATTACAATTCTTCCATGATTAAATTATTCAATTTCAGGAGAAAATGAAGCTTTTCCATAACATACTGCTGTTGATTATTTTTATTATTAGAGAATTGTTTAAAAAATTCAAAATCTTTTCTTGCCTGTTTGGTTGAACTTGTTGTTCTTGGCGTGATTTGTCTTCAATTGTACTTTACAAAATAGAACCGCAGACACACAGATTTTAAACGATTCTTAGATGTTTCGAGTTCCGCGTTCCAGACCGTTAGGTTGTCGCGTTCCGAAATGTTCCACTGAAAGTCAGAATGCTCAAGATTTTGTTCCAAATTGGAAATAATCTTAGTTCCAAATCGTCGCAGAGCTTCGTTCCTAACCGTCACAGGGCTCCGTTCCAGACCGTCACAGGGCTCCGTTCCAGACAGATTCGAGCAAACTGAACTCTTATCCTAAGAAAATGAAAATCAAAAAAGTTCGCAAATTATTTCTACATTGACATGAAATTTCTAATTTTTTCAATTTTTAAACTTAAAGAGTTGTCTTTTTATATTTTGTCGTTCAAAATGTATATGCCGACAAAAAGAATGAAAGAAAGGCAAACAAACAATGTTCAATGGGTCAAATCGTGATCGAAAGTTCAAGTTCTCTGGGATTTTGGGGCTTAGTCCCCCTTAGATCCCTGAAATCATTGTTTATCAGAATATTTTAAATCCACCCTGTACAAATTCCTGTAAAATTCCTTGAGGAGGCTTGCCTCAATTGCAGACATCAGTGTTTTAAATGCCTTTATTTCAAGCAGTCCAAGAAAACTAAATTATCGTAGATTGGAATGAATTTTTTTCAATTTTGAAAAAAATCCCATTTCTACTTTCAGCCTTCCTATGGTATAATTTATAATTTGAACTCCAAAAATAAACAAAATCAGCATGATCTAAGAATAAGAGGCATTATTTACTAAAGAATAAATTATAATAGCAGGAAATAATAAATAATTCGCCCTTCCTTATATATGATTTGATATGTATAATGATAATGTGGTAATTTCCTAGAGAACGATTTTTGGACCCCCTTTATTTCTTCCTGGTTTAAATATTGGTGTCAAAACGAAAGTGCGTATTTTACATGTTTTAATTAGTATCGTGTAAGACTATCCGTGCAAGTGAATGAATTCTGGTGAAACCCAGTAAGACGTGTTAAACATCAAAGTTTGGAGTTTATTTTAATTTAAAATTTATAAACATGTCACGTGTTGTGGATAAGAAATGGAAGTTTGTCTAAGATCTCCCAACATTAAATTTTGATGAATAGTAAAAATAATATTACTGTCTTAAAGGGACTGTAAGCACAGTTTCAAGTGACCCTCCATGTCTGATCATATGTGAAATCCATTATCCATGTTTGAAAATTAGAAAAAAATATTACTTAAAATAGTGGTTTCTCAACATAAGTGGCTTTTCCATTTCTATTTGAGGAAAAAATAGAATTTATCAGAATCAAACTCTTTAAAACTTTAAAAAAAGATAATACATGTTTCACATTATTGATCAGATTAAGGAATCAAGGGTAACCACTTTGAATCGGGCATTGCTATCTCTGCATAGTCACTTAAAATAACGCTTACAGTCCCTTTAATTGGACCAATTAATTTCTTTTCGGCTAAAATTCTGTTATTGAGTTTGATGACGTATTAATAAATTTGATAAAAATGGGTTAACAAGTATACTTTCACAGAATCAGGATAAGATGCTCAATTCTGAAAGGTAATATTAACATCAGAAAACATTATAGCTTGAATAATTTAGTAAAGAAGCCGTAGATACCTTCCAAATACTATATTTACTAATTAGAGACTGTAAGACAGAATGCGGCCATTAAATAATTATTTTTAGAATCTGTTCAGGTTTATAATAATGTTTATTGAAAAAAGTATTCGCAGATGTTTAATTTAACGCCCTAATATTCAATTTACCTTTCGAAGCACAAAATTTAGAAAATCTGCGCCATTTTGGCTTTGCCTGCCTGGCGCTCTGGAAAATGTTGAAGGGGGTGTGGGTGCACTATAGGGTTTCATTTAATGAACATTTAAGGTGGGGGAACTTATTAAGAATTTGGTAGTCTTAAAAACTATTAAAAATTCAAAACTGATTTCATGAATCATGAAATGTTTTTGAATTTAAAATTTTTTTTTGAACAAGTATAGAAATGCGGCCCTGTTTTTATAAATGTCGTCTTTTATTTCTACTAAATTTAGAAATGCTTTCGAAAAAAGGTGTAATATCAATAGGACTAAAGACTAAAGGTGATGGTGTATTTTTCGACATACGCAAATCCGCTATTTCTGACCTACGCCAAATCTGCGATACACTACACACCCGACGTGGTTTTACAGCTGCGCTATAATGCATGTATATACTGTATAGCGGCTACAAGTCCATGGACTTGTAGCCGCTGCGCTCGGCCCCCTCAATTGTCGACAGCCGCGGAGCCAGCCTTCACGTTCTAAACTGTCCTAGCCGCGCTCCTCGGCCCCCTAGCCTGTGTCCTATAGCAGCAGCGCTCGCGTCCAGAAATTGTCTTTCCATAACCTAACCCTCAAATAATTAATAAAAAAAATCAGCTCGTGGCGTAGGTCCGATATTGCACTATAGTTCTGAAAGAATTAGTAGGTCAGGTTCAGTAGGGGGATTATGGGATATGTTGCGAGACGATGTAACATTACCTGTTTTAAATGTTAAATAGTTCGTCAATAAAACAGGGTGTCCCACGAAAAATGATAGTTGGTGAATAGTTTTGAAGGTCATCTTCCATAAACTATATTATAGCGGGTTTGCGTAGGTCGAAAAATACTCCACCCAAGGAATGATAGAAGAAGGAATGGCCTCGGAGGTCGCCTTACTTCTTAGCACCCTAAATCTCACTTCACAGAATATTCAGCGGCACAGTGCACATTTTCACTTATAAACTCGGATCAAACCAACAGAAGCAGTCAGATGACCCAATCAAGAAAAGAAATAAGATGATGAGATGAGAATATACCAGACTTATCAAAATTGACCATTTGTCTCGATGTCTTAATGAGGGTCAGTGACTTGTAAGTTAAAAATTTCTTTAAAGGCGGCTATTTATGTCAAATATCAACGTAGATTCAAGGATATAAAACTAACTAAAATAATAAAAAAAACGTTGACAATATATTTCCAGAATACAGCGAATAATAAATATGTCCTGGAGACCAAAGGAAAGCCTGGACAAGGGCAGTGGAGGGTTCGGTTCTCTGTACAAGGACAACAGAAAGAATGTTCTTCAATCCTCTGCTAACTATAAATGTCAAAAATGTCTGCAGGTACTACAACTTCTGTTTCAGGGATATTGTCTTGAAAAATCCCCCCTCCCCCAAACTCTCACGAACAACCATTTCCCGTCAGCATGTTTTGAATCGAATTGTATATTTATTGAAATGGAGAAAACAGCTGATTTGTATGAGACATCAGGTTCATTTTTGGGTACACAATTTCTGACAGAGGAAATTTTATGTTCAAGTTTCTATCCCCCCCCCCTCTTCAGAAATCAATGAATTCCCCCCTGATCACTGGTTAGCCAGTAGAATATTATTAGTTATTCTGCTTGTAAGCCATAGGTCCCCGCACTTGTGTGTTAATGAATCAATAATATATTTGTCAAGATCGGGCATTTTACCTACGAGTGCACCGGGGAGAGAAAATATACCCAGAGGAGTAGCAGAACAGAACTACTTAAACGGAAACTAGAGGGCAAGGATGAAAACTCGCAGAAAAAAAAGAAAGGTACTGGCTTTTTAAGATTTTTAGAGTTTTTCGACATTTCAGAGGAAAAAATTGAAAATTCTTGGAGAACCCCCAATTCATGGGGGGGGTATCGCAATAAATGCGGATCTTGTTATTTTGTAAATTATGAATATTCTTCCATATTTAAATTTTACTTTGTATTTATGTTCTTATTTATACATTTTATTTTTTGTCTTAGAGGAAAGCAGTAGTAGTAGCAGTAGCTCAGATAGCAGCAGCGATAGCAGTAGCAGTAGCAGTAGTAGTAGCAGTGATTCAGAGAATGAAGAAACACAGAAGAAAAAGTCAAAGAAGAAGAAGTCTAAAAAATCTAAATGAGAATTGCGCTAAGAATAATATTCACGAAATAAAATTTGTTCTTAATTTGTTAATTTTCAAGTACCTGATTTTCAGAAAAATGTCTGGAGATATTAGGGAGGAAGATATTTCCGCTCTGATAGCCGTCACAGGACAAACCAGGTAACCCCCCCCCCCATACTTACCCCCCGTCCTTTGATGAATGTGGAAAATGCGGAGGGTATGTAATTGAGTTAATTACGAAGTGAGTTGTTAATTACTGCTTCAGTAACAATAAGGTAAATTGCAATTAAACTGTTGTATCTTGCTCAGATAAATGTTTAAAGGGTACTGTTGTACTGTTGTACTGTTGTACTGTTGTATAAATGTTTAAAGGGTACTGTTGTACTGTTGTACTGTTGTACTGTTGTACTGTTGTACTGTTGTACTGTTGTACTGTTGTACTGTTGTACTGTTGAACTGTTGTAATTTGAGAGTTACGTCAATTGAGTCTCTTTAATTACTGCAATTAATTCAGGGACAAGGTGATCCAAGCCCTGGGAGTCTGTTGTGGAGATAGTGAGCTTGCCTACCAGTTGATGACAGACGATACAAAGCAGTCATCAACACTTTCTGATCAACAAATCGGAGGTAGTTGTCAGATCATTTTAATAGTAGTTTTAATAAGCATAAATACGCCATATATTTTTTTTTAACGAATGCAGATTTTATACAGATTAAAAAAAGAACCTTGGTTAAAATCTTAATTTGTTTCAAAAAACTTTTTATCTCCGACTATGTTTATTTATTAATGGTATTACTTAAATGTCCTTGAAACTAAAACTAATCTTTAAAATATATTTTTCGATTTTCTCTTTAAATACTTGCCCTTTTCTTAACTTGCATAATTATCAAATTATTTTCTTCTTTCTTCGCTTTTTTTATGCAAAACTTGATGAACCATTAAAGAAATTTTTATAATCTTTTTTTTTCAACAGTTCAGATTTTGGTTTTACTCTCTAAAACAGTTTTTTTTTTGCAGTTTTTGGTTGATATTTTGCCTCTTGGATCCTGGATCCCTGGATTCGCATATTTTTTCGGATCCGGATCCAGGAAGCCAAAATATTTCGGATCCAACGGATCCTAAGCAATGTAGGTTGATTGGTAATAATAATAATAATAATTTGACATGATACTTTGACAGTTGACTTTAGGTTGAATGATAATAATAATAATGATAATAATGTGTTAAGGTCAGGGTTCCAGTGGATCTTCTGGGTACAGGAAACCAGTGATACAGGAAACAAAGTTCCATGGTGAGGGGTCGGGAGGGCGAGGAGGAGAGGGCAGCCAGGAGATCGAGGGGATTGCGATGAGGGTTGTGAGAGAAGACGAGGGAAGTATTGTGGGTGAGGGGAGTATATCTAGAAAGAATGCGGGAGAGGGATCTACTAGAACTAGGACCAGTGAAGGGACCGGATTATGGAATGATCTTCAAACAACGGATTTCCCCATATCGCAAGGTAAGATTATCATACCTTATAAATTTACCCCTTCAATAGATGCAATTCTTTTAATCGTCGACAAAGTACTTCAGTAATGGTTATGGTTGTTGGGAGAGAAATTTATTTAGTTAAAATGGGTTCTTTATTAAGTTTAGGGTAAAAATAATCATAAATCATAATAAAAAATTGTAAAAATATTGACTTGAAAATATTGAGTGCGAACAAAAAGTGTAGGCAAGCCTAATATACAAATAGATGTGGTTTGGATTTGAATATAATGAACTATTTAGGATTGAAAAGAAAGAGACGAACTAAAGATAATGAATATCTAACACTCAAAGTTATTCGACCTTTTCAAGGCTCGGGACAGCATGAAATACATTTTAGGTAATTTTTCTTTAATTCATGAACTTTTTATGATCTGAGATTTGTTTGAAAAGAAGCAAATTTATGAGCGTTAAAAAGAGTCACAATATATGTTTTTTTATATTCTACAATTGCCCTTCTGAGTCCTATAGAAAGAGATACGATTTTTTTCATTTCGTTCGTTCATGAACGGCCTATTTCGTTCTTTTTTTTTCAATCGTTCTCAAATGAATTCATTTCGTTCGTTCTCCAAATTATCGTTAATTTTTCATCTATTTCGTTCGTTTTCTCACCAAACGATTGTTCAGTAAAATCGTTCGTTCAGCAAAATTGTTTTCTAAAAAATTGTGTGTTCACCAAATTTTTTTAACTTTTCCGAAAATTTGTTTATTCAGTTAAAAAAAGAACAAAATCGTTCAATCGTTAGTTTTTGTTTTTTCGTTCGTTTTTAAAAAACGATAATTTTTCCATTTCTCTGAACGATCCATTTCGACACCCTTTTTCACAAAAAAATTAACTCGTTTTCAAAATTTTCGTTCGTTCTCAATATTTTCGTTCGATGAAAAAAAACGATGCCCATCTCTACCTGTAAGCACTCAACATGTATTATTTTTAAGACAAAGCACGTTTTTTTAGAGTAAAGAACACAACACAGCTTGGAAAATTGAAGAGATCTTACAGTGAGCGAATAGGAGTTGCTCTTTATTTATTAAGGTTAATATTTTAATGTTTTTAGAGACCACTATTTTTCTTGTGGTTTTATTTTAGAATTTATGACCTGAAATTCGCTTATAAATGAAAGAGTGTTAGGTTAAGAAAAAGACTTTTGGGTGACATTTTGGACTCTTAGTAAAGAAACCATACAAATATAAATTATTTTGGGAAAAAAACAAATGCCGAAAAAAATACTTGAATTTTTGAAATTTTATTTTTTCAATCTCTAAAATGAAATTTTCCCCAGGCATATATTAACATAAACTAATGATTACCCTGGTTCAGTATTCTATATAATGAAGCTCTTTGCTGACATATTTATGTATATTTATATGTCAGCTATAGCTTGCCAAACGACTGGACCAAGTTGGCTAAAATTTGTTGAGGGAACAAATAGGTACCCTGCAGGCTAAAAATTCGATTTTTTAAAGAGGGAAATTTTCTATTTAAAATTTTTATAAAATTCTTTTTATTCCACAGGCAACCAGTTAGTATTAACATATACTAATGATTACCTAGAGTCCTGTATATACTTACATACACTTATGTTACCAAGGTTTTTGTATGATGGAAGGAGAATCACAGACGAACACACACCTGAAACTTTGGAAATGGAACCAGGTAAATTTTAATTCAAAACGGTAAGACCGATAACGAAAGAATATGAAGACGACATTAAAGAAAGTGTATTAAATGTTGTTACAGAGCCAAAAATTTTACCAGCAGCTTGAGAATCGACTTATAATGTGAAATGGGTATTGGGTATGTGATTATATACACTGCACAATTCCTGTGTTTCATGTTAATTGCAAATTGAATTTTTTTTAAAATCAGAACTTCAGTCTAACATTCTACATTCTACAATTCTTTAGATCTCACTGTACAAAAGTACAGTGAGATACCTGTCTCTTAAAGCATTTTTATTATTGTGATATTTAACCAATAATACTTCCAATCATTATTATATATGTCAGCTATAGTTTGCCAATTGGAAGGAATCTGAGCACTTTAGCTAAATCCATAATACCAAGCGTGTGTAAACGACGGGAGAACCTATGTTTATAAATAAGACCTGGGCAACGTTGGGTGCTCTAGCAAGTTTATTATAATCTTATACGCCCCAAGCACACTGATTTGACGGTTCGGTCTTTGTTCCACAAAGCTGTTACTTGGATTAGATTAGATAGATTAAATAGATTAAATGTATTCTTCTGTTAAGATGATTTTGTGGAGGTGTATGATGAACTTGGAAACACTAGCTCCGGGTCCGGGCCCTCCATCTATGATGAGAAATCCCAACCAAATAACAGGTATAATTTTGGAAGAATTTCGAAGATTTGGACTGTTAATAACAAATTGGACTTCAATTGGCAAATATTTTTTTCTTTTAATCTATTTACCCATTTTTTTTATTTCCTTAATGAAATAATCTATTTTCTCCAATACATAAAAAATAATCCTTATAAATATCCAAGAATATTAGAAAACAAAAGAGATTTAAAAAAAATATTTTTCTTCAGTACACGGGATTCTGAACTGACCGGGAAACGACGATCATCTATCTGGCTGAGCAATGATCCAGGTTCTGACTCTTCTGGTGAAAGTCCTGAACCGGAGAAGGATACTGAACCTGAACCTGAACCTAAACCTGCCAAACAAGATCCAGAACCACCCAGCACACCTTCACCCGCTGAATTAAAGGTAGAACCAGATTATCAGTTTTCAAATTTTTCACATTTAATCATAACAAAGTTAGTCGTGACTCGTGAGGTTATTCAGTGAGAACCCTGTTTCCTATTATTCAAGTTATTAAGACATGCAGCACAAACGGGCACGGGCGTTAAAATTTGTGCTCTCGGCCGGTTTGGACTCCAGGCCGCTATCTGCACGGTGGTGCGTGGTGCCCTGAAGGCAGTCAGGGGGTTCCACATTGGGTTCCCTTTCAGATTTAAACTTGATTTGATTTGATCAGGGGGGTCAGCAATATGGAGTTTATACCGTAAACTTTTTGATATAATTCAAATAAGGCTTGGTCGCTTAAGCAATTTTTGTAGATAAGTTTCTGAGTTGTAGTAATGTTCTAAAATTCGACTGTTAAAAATACCATTGCTCGGTAGAGAGTATAGCATCTGATAGCTTTGTGTGTCGATAAATACATACTTAGACCTACCAGTGTTCAGTAGAGAGGATAGAGATTGATAGCTTTGTGTGTAAATAGATACACACTTAGACCTACCAGTGTTCGGTAGAGAGGATAGAGAGTGATAGCTTTGTGTGTCGATAAATACATACTTAGACCTACCAGTGTTCGTTAGAGAGAATAGAGAATGATAGCTTTGTGTGTGAATAGATACACACTTAGACCTACCATTGTTCAGTAGAGAGGACAGAAATTGATAGCTTTGTGTGTAAATAGATACACACTTAGACCTACCAGTGTTCGGCAGAGAGGATAGAGAGTGATAGCTTTGTGTGTGGATAAATACATACTTAGACCTACCAGTGTTCGGTAGAGAGGATAGAGATTGACAGCTTTGTGTGTTGATAGATACACATTACCAGTGTTCGTTAGAGGGTATAGTGTTTTAAAACTTTGTGTCGCTAAATACACACTTAGACCTACCAGGATGCGGTAGAGAGGAAAGAGTTCGATATCGTTGTGAGTGGATTGAGACACACATAAAAAGAAGAAATGAGTATGAGTAATGAGGCAAAGGAGTATTATGACAAAAACAGGCAACTCCTCCCCCCTGACCCCCAAAAATACCCCACTGTGTGCAGAGATAAAAGAATGTTTAGTCCATTCTTTATCTATTTTAAATTTTTTATAACACTTTCCCTAACTAAATTTTTCATTTACATTTGTTCTTGAATTTTTCTAAACTTCTGTTGCAAAAAACCTTGTTATTTGATGTAATTGTTTTCGGCAATCATTTTAATTTTTATTTCAGGACGCAGATGATGTACTTTTAGATCTACAGAAGATCAAGAAGAAGTATGAAAATCTTGTCAAAAAACTAAGAGATAAGGTGCGAAGAATGTATCAATATTTTTTTTTATTTCGTAATTATAAAGCAATGCCAGGCCCTGGATATATTTTTTAAAAATTACCTCTCCAAATCATCAGCCCCTGAAAAAATCTAGAATATTTCAATCATAAATAAATAATTTGATAGTTTTTATATGTATAGAATAGATAATTTATATGTTGACGGATTCAATAATAACGTAATAACTGAAATGATAAATATGTTATGAAATGAGTTATGATTGATGTCGCCATTTTTTGCATATTTTTGCATATTATTTCTATTATAAAACTATATATTCGAAATAACTAAACAAAGAAGCCAGATGTAAAGGTAAAGCTGATTAGTTTATAAAAACATCACATGAACAATGAACATTGCTTAAATCTCGTCAACCTATTCCACAGTATCATGGTGCTTACTATAAAACCCTTGCGTATACAGTATACACAACATCTGTAGGAAGCTATATAGTTTATATATTATAAAGTGTCATTGAGAGTGTCCTAGATATTTGAATTGATAAACCATCAATCCTCCAATCTTCAGGTTGAGTGCCCTGTATGTCTGGATGTGCCAAAGAAAGCTCCAATACCCGTATGTGTTAACGGTCATGTTGTCTGTGAAAAATGTCTGAGAGATGAATGCCCGACCTGCAGGTAAATACAATGAAAAAAATACTTGCAAGACCATAGAATTGTCATAAGTCATTTTGGGATTGGGATGTGGTCATAGGGCTTCCTTTAAAGTTTGATTTTTGATTGAGGGTTGTATGAAATGATTCTCTTTTTATAACTTTTTAGGATTAAATGTTTGAATTTTATAAAAGATTAAATACTTAAATATTATAAAGGATTAAATCAAATACTTGAAAAGTATAAAGGATTGAATACTTGAATATGATAAAGGATTAAATATCTGAATAATTAAAGGATTAAATACTTGAATATTATAAAGGATTAAATACTTGAATAATGGATTAAATATCTGAATAATTTAAAGGATTAAATACTTCAATATTATAAAGGATTTAATACTTTAATGTTATAATAAAGGATTAAAATCTTGAATATTATAAAGGATTACATATCTGAATATTATTAAGAATTAAATACTTTAATATTGTAAAGGATTAAATACTTAAATATTATAAAGTATTAGATACTCTAATATTAAAAAAGATTAAATACTTGAATTAATATTATAAAATATTAAATAATTAAATGAATATTATAAAAGATTAAATACTTGAGTGAATATTATAAAAGATTAAATACTTGAATGAATATTATGAAAGATTAAAAATTTGAATGAATATTACAAGAGATTAAATACTTGAATGCATATTATAAAAGATAAAATACTTGAATGAATATTATAAAAGATTAAAGACTTGAATGAATATTATAAAAGATTAAATACTTTAGATTAAATACTTGAATGAATATTATAAAAGATTAAATACTTGAATGAATATTATAAAAGATTAAATACTTAAGTGAAGATTATAAAGGGCTCGAATGGATGGAGGGACCTCAACGCTAGCTGTAACTGTGATAGAGAATATAGAACATCTATGTGAGTGGGAGGAGTGTACAGAGTCTCATATTCTCTCAGCTCTTAAACATCATATGAAAAAATGTAGCTACAGGTCAGTCTAGTTCTTGCAATTAACTGTTTTTAAATCTTTGAATTGGGGTAATGGTCGGCTCACTACAATTTTGGATTTTTTTAAATGTTAGTTTGATAATCCTATTTCTAGAACCAAAAAGTATTAAAATGCATAAGGATAAAACTTACTGAAACATTTCTCAATATTATTGGTATCGAGTTTATTCATTTTGCCCATTCATCAGGACTTTTTGTGGAACTTTTCTGGAACTTAAGTTCAATATTTGATTTCTGACAGATCGATATTGTTATTGTGTTTTTGTATTGTTAGGTTTGAGATGAGTTACTTTAAAGAGTTTAGAAGATTCAGTTCACATATTTGATTTGAGCTTAGCTTGAACCTATTGTCATCTTTAATTAGCCGACTTATTCTTTGATTGATTGATTGATTGATAAATCAATCATTGAAAAATATTCCTTATTAAATAATATAATTATAGGATGGTTGAATGTCCTGGATTAGAATGTTCCAAGAGATTTTCTCTCTCCCGACTCTTGGAACATTCCCTGTACTGCTGTGTGGAACGGAACGAAATAACACAATATAGGTGAAACCTCATTTTCTTCTTTTTCGTCATCTTCGTCATATTCGTCATTCTATTCATTCCTTCATTTTCTTCATTAAATACCGTTTTTTTGCTGAAACTTCATGGACAAGTCAGAGATTATGAAGTTTTTAATAACATCTCATTATTTAACAATTGACATTTTTATTTTGAAAGCAAAAAGTTTTTTTGCATGTTTTGGTCAAATATTTTCCTGGTAAAGTTGTACAGGAATAAATAAGAATTGGTTAAGTGAAATTAAACACACAAAACATTTAACATATTTTTATTGAAATATTCTAGATATTGATATTGAACACGGAAGAAATTCCATTTTAATTTTTAAAAGATTAAAATTGCATTAAACACATTTTTTACTTATTTCTTGATGTCGATGCATGAATCGGTCTAATCAATTAGTTTTCATCTGATTCTCTGTCGATTCACTCTCACCGCGCCGAGTTGATTTCTGTCTCTTAAGAAAAGTAAAAACTTTGGACTATTGATGTAATTTCAAGATACTATTCATAGAACGGAATTTAAAATGAACAACAGTAACCTTATCTGATCAATAATGTAGAAGATATTGTCGTTTTTCTAGCTTTGACAGTGTGTTTAGTTTTGATAATTTTCTCCTATTGTTCTTAGGAAAAAAGGCACAAGTCTAACTTTTGTAGAGGAACTGCAATGAAAAATATTAATCTTAAACATAAATAACTTATTCATTCTTGACCAGACAAAGCTTTTAAGGGTTCTGTTGTGAGTCGGACATACCACTCTAAAAATGGAATACGACTACACCCTTAAATATTAAAAAAATCTTTTTGAAATGTTTACTTTCATCAGAATTCTGTGTTCACACATTCTTCAATTGTTAATTTCTTTTGTGCTTAAGTACTCGTATTATCAATATTATAAAAATGTAAATACTTAAATGAATATTATAAAAGATTAAATACTTGAGTGAATATTATAAAAGATTAAATACTTGAATGAATATTATAAAAGATTAAAGACTTGAATGAATATTATAAAAGATTAAATACTTGAGTGAATATTATAAAAGATTAAATACTTTAATTAAGATTATAAAAGATTACTTGAATGAATATTACAAGAGTTGGTCTAGATTTCAACATGTTTCTGACTTTTCTAACCTTCTTATCCAAAAGGAACCCGTAAACCAAAGAACCTTAACAATTTTTCACATTAAATGCTGGATTTTCCAGTTTTATAATTTAATTTTACCTGTTATCAGTGCAACTAACAAGCAAAATATACAAATTTGAAGTATTTCAAGGACCTCGGGAGTAAACATTTTACTTTGAACTAACAGTAACTGAAAATGCTTTCAACAGTAATTGAAAATGTTGCGAAGTTTCACTAAAAATTTCGCGCGTTTTTACTTAGCTAAATCGATTTTTGTTGTAAAAACATGTGGGAATTTGGAAAAAATGCTGTATTACTTATGTTAAACAAAATGTGTCATAGAAAATGTTTTCTGAGCTAAGTTTTTTTACATATCAATGCGTATGACAAGTTTTGATTGTATTTGAGCTAAATTCTTTTTACTTACGTATGGTCACTTTTGTCCCATTTTTTATTTAACCCTTGTATACTGGTTTGGGAACCTCGCGTTGCCCATGTTTGTATTAAAATTCAAAAGTAATAGTAACCCCCACCATTTCCCTCGCTTCTTATTAAATCATGATTTTCTTATCTTCGAAGTTATTAAACTTTATTTTCAGATTATTATTTACAATTTTCATTTTCAAATGTTGGTTCTAGTCAAAGGTAGGCAATTAAAGAGTTTATAAAATTTATTCTGGAACACACTTTGAACTCGGTTTCGGTGGCTTAAAACTGGTTTATCGGTCTGTTTACATTCAATTTAATTAGGGTTATGTCGAAACAATAATTTACAGTTTCGACATAAGAGAAGTAGAGGGTTTTTTAATAAATACTTAAAATAATGAATTGATTTACCTCGCTCTATGTTATCTTTAAACTTTATAACTTTGGACTGCGACTAAGGAATAAGGATTGAATACTGGGTTCAATTTCATGTTTCGGTTCAAGTCCAGTTTCGGTTGCGTTTGTTTATGAACAACCAAGGGGTGTATATTTTTCTGTTTTCTATAAAAAATGTAAATAAAATTTTTTTTAGCTTTTGTTACCTCCGGGCTACCCCTGTGTTCCCTCATAAAATTTCAGCCCATTCGGTCTAGCCGTTTGGCCGGCTGTAGGGAACACAGTTACGAATGTCTTGTTTTATTATATAGATGATAAGTTTATTCTTTTGAACACCAGGGGGGTCAGCGAGCAATAGCTGTAGTGCCAAGAACCCCCCTGTAACAAATATAAAACATTAATAAACAATATCAATAAACATAATAATATTAATTACAATTTTAAGTTATGTGGATGGATGGATGGGTGGGGGGGGGGCAGTTTTTTGTAGGAGCTGGAGTTAGAGGAAGAAAACAAAAACTATTTAAAACAGGAGCCAGTCGAATATTCGGTTAAATTATTATCATTAAAACAGATTGAAACGACCATAATTACTTTTTACACTTTTCGAAAAAGAACATTTAAAGGAAAGAGCACACTTTTTTATTTGACCTGCTTAGGTTAATGCTTTCTAATTAGTTTGTTAAAATATTCTGATTAATTGGTTTATTCAGTATGTGATAGTAGGTTTTGACGGCTAGAAGAAGTGCCGGCCCCTATTCACTATGTGATAATAGGTTTTGGCGCTTAGAAGAAGTGCCGGCCCGTATTCACAATGTGATAGTNTTGGCGCCTAGAAGAAGCGGCGGCCCCTATTCACAATGTGATAGTAGGTTTTGGCTCCTAGAAGAAGTGCCGGCCCCTATTCACAATGTGATAGTAGGTTTTGGCGCCTAGAAGAAGTGCCGGCCTCTATTCACAATGTTATAGTAGGTTTTGGCGCCTAGAAGAAGTGCCGGCCCCTTTTCACAATGTGATAGTAGGTTTTGGTTGCTAGAAGAAGTGCCGGTCCCTATTCACTATGTGATAATAGGTTTTGGCACTTAGAAGAAGTGCCGGCCCATATTCACAATGTGATAGTAGGTTTTGGCGCCTAGAAGAAGTGCCGGCCCCTATTCACAATGTGATAGTAGGTTTTGACGGCTAGAAGAAGTGCCGGCCCCAATTCACAATGTGATAGTAGGTTTTTGCGCTTAGAAGAAGTGCCGGCCCCTATTCACAATGTGATAGTAAGTTTTGGCGCTTAGAAGAAGTGCCGGCCCCTATTCACAATGTGATAGTAGGTTTTTTCGGCTAGAAGAAGTACCGGCCCCTATTCACAATGTGATAGTAGGTTTTGGCGGCTAGAAGAAGTACCGGCTCCTATTCACTATATGACAGTAGGTTTTGGTGGCTAGAAGATGTTCCGGCCCCTATTCACTATGTGACAATAGGTTTTGGTGGCTAGAAGAAGCGCCGGCCCCTATTCACTATGTGATAGTAGGTTTTGGTGGCTAGAAGAAGTACCGGCCCCTATTCACTATATGACAGCAGGTTTTGGTGGCTAGAAGATGTTCCGGCCCCTATTCACAATGTGATAATAGGTTTTGGTGGCTAGAAGAAGTGCCGGCCCCTATTCACTATATGATAGTAGGTTTTGGCGACTAGAAAAAGTGCCGGCCCCTACTCATAATGTGATATTAGGTTTTGGCGACTAGAAGAAGTGCCGGCCCTATTCACTATATGATACTAGGTTTTTTCGGCTAGAAGAAGTACCGGCCCCTATTCACTATGTGATAGTAGGTTTTGGTGGCTAGAAGAAGTACCGGCCCCTATTCACTATATGACAGTAGGTTTTGGTAGCTAGAAGATGTTCTGGCCCCTATTCACTATGTGATAATAGGTTTTGGTGGCTAGAAGAAGTGCCGGCCCCTATTCACTATATGATAGTAGGTTTTGGAGACTAGAAAAAGTGCCGGCCCCTATTCATAATGTGATATTAGGTTTTGGCGACTAGAAGAAGTGCCGGCCCTATTCACTATATGATAGTAGGTTTTGTCGGCTAGAAGATGTTCCGGCCCCTATTTCACGAATGAAGGGTTCTTTTATAATGATGATAATAATCTGAATTTAATCGGCCTTGATTTCTACAGAAAGATAAAATATTTTATTAATTTGATGGTTCCTCTTATCTAGGCTGCCACACAAATTCACCTTTTTGATGAAGAAAGACATGGCTGCGGTGATGCAGAGCAATAGGTGACTTTTATCTGCTGCTGTTCAAATTCATGGATATTTAAAATGCATTTTATTGTCTTTTTAAAGATTCTTGAAGAAACGTCAATCAATCAATTAACTAAATAATCAATTAATCAATAAACCTTTCAATTAAATAAAACTAAAGATTTTAGACTTAAAGATTTATCATATGATTTACAACTCTTTTTTTTTAGTTTTTAAGTAATTAATTTTTTGTGGGGGTTAGATTTGGGGGAGGAGTAAATAAATTTTTTTTGGTCAAAACTATTTAAGAAGTGTTTATGTAAAAGGGGTTTTAGTTCACTAGGTTGGCTTTTAAAGTGAAAGTTTATTTTCCAGACAAAGCTGATTTCCCATGCTAGTATGAATTATATTTTTGTGTATTGTATAGAGACTTGAACTGGAAGCTGGAAGGAATCAAGTTTGATGATAAAATATTTTTCCTCAAGGTTTCCTGGTAAGTTAGATATTTTTCTGTTAATGTAGTGACTGTAGATGTAATTTTAAGCGAGTTTCCTGGTAAGTTAGCTATTTGTCTGTCAATGTGAAACTGGAGATGTGATTTTAACTGAGTTTCCTGATAAGTTATTTATTTGTCTGTCAATGTGAAACTGTAGATGTAATTTTAAGTGAGTTTCCTGGTAAGTTGGTTATTTGTCTGTCAATGTAGGGTCTGTAAATGTAATTTTAAGTGAGTTTCCTGGTAAGTTGGTTATTTGTCTGTCAATGTAGGGTCTGTAAATGTAATTTTAAGTGAGTTTCCTGGTAAGTTGGTTATTTGTCTGTCAATGTAGGGTCTGTAAATGTAATTTTAAGTGAGTTTCCTGGTAAGTTGGTTATTTGTCTGTCAATGTAGGGTCTGTAAATGTAATTTTAAGTGAGTTTTCTGGTAAGTTAGTTATTTGTCTGTCAATGTAGGGACTGTAGATATAATTTTATGTGAGTTTCCTGGTAAGTTATTTATTTGTCTGTCAATGTGAAACTGTAGATGTAATTTTAAGTAAGTTTCCTGGTAAGTTAGTTATTTATCTGTCAATGTAGGGACTGTAGATGTAATTTTAAGCGAGTTTCCTGGTAAATTAGTTATTTGTCTGTCAATGTGAAACTATAGATGTAATTTTGAGCGAGTTTCCTGGTAAATTAGTTATTTGTCTTGTCAGTGTAGGGACTGTAGATGTAATTTTAAGCGAGTTTCCTGGTAAGTTAGTTATTTGTCTGTCAATGTAGTGACTGTAAATGTAATTTTAAGCGAGTGTCTTGGTAAGTTAGTTATTTGTCTGTCAATGTAGTGACTGTAGATGTAATTTTAAGTGAGTTTCCTGGTAATTTAGTTATTTGACTGTAAATGTAATTTTAAGTGAGTTTCTATCTATCTATCTAAACGACAATATCTTCCTTATTGTTGAAGGGTCACTTGAAATTGCGTCTACACTCTCTAAATTAGTTGGATATAAAAAGTAATACAAAAAAGAAAATGTTTTTATCTCTTGAGTATTAATTTTTATCCTCATTGCCTAGGTTCATATTATCATTATTATGTATATCCAATATCCATGCTTAGTATTATATCATGATTTTTGTTGAAGTGTACGACTTTGCCCGGGGAATTTCAAAATTTGGCTAATTTGGTCCAGCCGTTTGGCCAGCCATAGCTAATATTTATATCAGTTAAAATCTTTATTATATACGTTACTTGTTCTTAATACTTTATTATTTTCTAGTGAGCGTAGACTTGGCCGAGCCCGTTGGAGTTTTTGTGTACAAATGTTAGGAGGTGCAGACGGGTGCAACAAATATACTCTTAATTTAGTAGTTTGTAAAGGTCAGTAAACATTGTTAACACTATTCTAATTTTAAATATCTTTCTTGCTTTTTTTACTAAGAACGTGTCCTGAACATTTTTAAATATTTCAATTGCATCATTCAAATCTCTAGTGATATTTATAAAATGAACGAGTGAAAGAAAGGGTAAACTTTTTCATACTTTACCGGCCTGTTGTAACATCACACTATTTTATAGGTTGTGTAATGTTGGGAGGAAAGTATTCCAAGAGTTATTGCGGAGACGTTTGTCCGATTGACGTGAGCAGTAGCGACCAGGTATTAAGGATTGACGTGAGCAGTAGCGACCAGGTATTAAGGATTGACGTGAGCAGTAGCGACCAGGTATTAAGGATTGACGTGAGCAGTAGCGACCATGTAGGAAGTTCTAGCTTGAGCAGTAGCGACCAGGTAGGAAGGATTAACTTAAGCAATATAGACCACGTATAAAGAATTGATGCAAGAGCAGTAGCGACCAGGTAGGAAGGATTAATGTGACCAGTAGCGACCAGGTAGGAAGGATTAACTTGAGCAGTAGCGACCAGGTAGAAAGTATTAACTTGAGCAGTAGCGACCAGGTAGGAAGGATTAACTTAAGCAATAGAGACCATGTATAAAGGATTGACGCACGAGCAGTAGCGACCAGTTAGGAAGGATTAATGTGACCAGTAGCGATTAGGTAGGAAGGATTAACTTGAGCAGTAGTGACCAGGTAGGAAGGATTAATATGAGCAGCAGTGACCAGGTGTAGGTAGGATTAATATTAGCAATAGCGACCAGGTAGGAAGGATATCTAATATATACTTGATCAGACAAAGCTATAAGGGTACTGTTGTGAACCGGCTATTATCATCTTTGAATGAATGGTCACTTACAATTATGCTCACAATCCCTTTAACGACCATTAAGAAAAAATTTGGAAAAACTCAATGAATTTTGAGCAGGAAAAATTCTTGTCAAGTATGATTCTATTTTCTATTATATTAACCTCTATTGTAATGTCTAGACATTGATTATTATATTAATCTCTATTGTAATGTCTAGACATTGATTATTATATTAACCTCTATTGTAATGTCTAGACATTGATTATTATATTAACCTCTATTGTAATGTCTAGGCATATGAGAATGATCTCTGTTTAACGATGACAGACAAGTCTATGGAGAAGATCCTTTGTAAGAATACAACCACAGGAAACTATGAGTTCTCTGTTATGGTCAATATCTACAAATCATAAGTGCAATCCTTTTTATTTGATTTTTCCTTATTGTTGTTTTATTCCCACTTTAAAGTTTTATTTTCAATTATTCATTTTATTGGTTCACATACCCATAACAAGAATTTGTATAAGATGCTTAAACTAGTTTTCGTTTTCCTTGTTTTTAAAATTTGTTATAGAGATGTTGTCAAAACAATTCAACTTTTAATTTCTATGTCGTTCTATATATTTAAATAAATTTTCATGGTGACCCCCCCCCCCCC